GAACGAGTATTAAAAATGAATCGTTGCTTTCTTTCGTGCAATTGAATCGTGGCGTATACGAATCCATTATAATAGGACGGCGTATGTATAAAATAATCTGAATATTTGAACGAGTCGGAGAAATGAATCGGATGACTGTCCAGAATACAATTCAAATGAATCATGACCAGCACGGGTCCCTACAATATAAAAAAATGAATCGTAAGAATTGAAACGGATTCAACTTATTTTCATTCAAAAATACGTAGTTGTTCTATGTCCACGCAATATTGGAACGTCCTGTATATTTTGTAGATCTGCTTTGAAAAAATAAATTCTCCAAAAAAAATTTTCAAAAACTATTCGATGTGGCGTATAGGTATGTTTATTCTTTAGTAGTGAGAATCTCAGAGCATTTAAAAAATAGAGAGTACCTAGTGTTTATTTCTCATATTTTTCCTCTATTTAACTTACCCTATGCGTTTTTGGATCAAGATTGCTCTGACCGCAAATGGTGACAAATTTGTCAGTCGCAGTAAAATAATTTTCTGGGTATTCATCATCACTATCTGTATCAGAAAAGGTTTTTAATGCTTTCATTTTGAACGTTATTTGTATGCCCTGTCTAAAGATAAACCAACTGCAATCTTGTACAATCAGTGAGAAAATAATAAGTAAATCTGATCGCGTGCCGCTTTATAAAACTGATTTTAATTGAACAGTGGCGTACTTCATTTTAATAATTATTGTTCCTTATTTTATTTAAAAAATATATTAACTCGGGTTAGTCGGGGTTTTTATAGTTATTAACGTAATAAGGCCGATAAACAACAAATAACGGCCGGGCTGAAGTTTGTGATCCGAGGCGATAGCCGAGGATCATAAGCAGCCAAGGCCGTTATTTGTTATCGGCCGTGTTGCGTTCTAGATTTTTCGTCATACTGCAGATTTTTTAGAGCAATAAACACTACTATTTAATAACAAATTTTATTGAACAATAACACAAGTAAGGATAAAAATACATAATGTCTTATACTAAAATTCATTTTTCATGATAATGAACATGGAAATTAAAAGTGCACTTGTTGTTCTTAGAAATCTGTAATCCTTCCCAGGGATTTACAGATTTTATAGAAGAAGATGATGCTACTGAAGAATGGCAAATATTTGTATCCACTAAAGACACATTATTTTTGGAGCTATCATGAAAAAGTTGATTTGTTATTTTCATTCTTTTGGAAACTGATTTTTCTATGTAAGTTTCTGCCACTGTTGAAGACTCCCATCCTCCTAGCTCCTTTAGCGATAGTAAATCACCACCATTTTCGGCGAGCATGGTTGCTGATGATCTACGAAATGAATGCCCTGTATAACGTTCTGGATTCTCCAAGTTCAAAAATTTTGCAATTTTCTGCGGTACGCTCCCGATGGTATGTATACCGACGATTTGCTTAACACACTTGCCTTTCTTGTAACCAATGAAAAATTTTGGATTGTCAAAGTTACGAGGACGCAGGTTGATGTATTTTTGTATAAACCATAGGCATCAAACGGAAGGCCCGTTTTGGAATAAGAAATTTCCTATCTTTCTTATTTTTAGTATTTCTTAATGAGACAAGAATATTTTTCTCCGAATCTTCGAAATCATCAACTGTGAGTGACCAAAGCTCGCTGCGCCTACAAGCTCCAAGAATACCAAGCACCAATACAATTTTTTCGAGTAACCAGGTGTAATCATCGGCATCCAGTAGAAAATTATTTATGTCATTCTCCGACAGAACTTTGGCTTTTTTGGTGAATAACCTTCGTTTTTGCGCCTCAGAAACATGAACAGTTTACCAAATCTATGAACAAATATAATTTAGATGAGTATGATTAAATATCGAAGAATATAATGGCTTTTTACCTTGATATGTCGATGTTTTCATATACTCTCAACGCAAGCTTCAGCATGGATATCTTTGTCCACAGTGATGTAGGAGAATACATTTCAGACATTCTTTTAGCATAAGCCAGCAATACCGCTTCATTTACGCTGTTTATACTTCTATCCTGCCGCCACTTCAAAAATTGTCATATTCCTGCTGATATCTCTCTCTGGTTATAGTCGGAAGTAAATTTTGAGTAGCCGCAGCCGCTTCCTCCTGTATTTCCAACGGAATTTCTCGCGACATCTCGCTATGGTCTATTTTCCCAATTTTTGAAAAGTCCAACTGACAATAAATAGTCATTGTTGCAGGTGACAGACGTTACGATTACCTTAGAAACTTAACGGCCGCCGGCCGTTATGATAACGTCCGGCGGACGTTATATGCATCTTTTCCATTCTGATTTTGCTTATGTTATAATAATATAACAATATAGTATGACGAAAAAAATATATTATGTCTTTTTCAAGAGAATTTCAAATGCAACAGCCTGTATATTATTATAAAATCAATGCCAATACCAGCATAAATATAACATATTCATATTAATACTGTCAAAAACATATATGAATGCCGGATTTAATGGATTTCAAACTATTACGAATATTCCTTTTAGCTACAGAGCTAATGTCAAACACAGTTTTTGCATTTAAGCTGGATATTTATGTAATAATTTAATAATATGTTTGAATTGGTAATGTGGTAATAGCATGATCTGTTATATTTGGAAAGTAATGAATTATTGTATCCGGATTACCAACTTATTCAGAATATACATTTTTGGTTAAATTAAAATACTTTAAATTATATAAGTACTTTTAAAAAAATAACATTTTATTTTTATGTTTGTATAGTCAAAGATCCCAGAGCGATCAGACATAACTTATTTTCACAAGGACGAAACCTTAGGCTCTCAGTAGTGCTCTGATGTGTTTTGAATACCGGCGTGTTTGTGGGGTTCGCCGTGTGATATCTTGGCATATACCAGGTGGGAAAGGTCACTAAAAGAAATAAATGAACTTTACTTATTTTACATATCTGATTTTTACATATGTTATTAAGATAGCTATTATAAAGTTATATTTAATCAGCCAGACAGATTGTAATGACCAAACATCCTCAAAACAAAAATTATTTAGCTGTGACAATGAGCTCGGGAGAACTATGCGCTTCCGAGTAAAGAATTTAAATATTTTAAAAATACTCACTGCTTTCGATTTAATATTTTTGCATCTCTATTTAAATAAGATGAGCTTTTTTTATTAAAGTAATAATTAATAATAATTAAAGTTAATTAATTTATTGCCTATCTAACTACTCAAAACAATTATCGCATATTTTCTAAAAAAAAATGTTAATTTGAAAAACAAGACACCTTAAATTCCCTTACTTACGTTTTTAAATAGTTCGGATACTGTAAAAAAGAAATATTGGAAAATAAGCCTGAGGGTGACATGCAATTCTTAGTCGGCCGACTATTTAGTTGCAGATTTTTAACCAATATAATTCTTATGGAGCCGCGCTCACATGCAATCGAATAGTCGGCCGATCGGCTCCATAAGAATGTATTGTTTTCACTTTTACAACTAATAGAAATGGAAAAATATTAAATCGAAAGCAGTAAATATTTTTAAAATATTTAAATACTTTACTCGAAAACGCATAGTTCTCCCGCGCTCATAGTCACGGCTAAATAATTTTTGTGATTAGAGGATCTTTGATCATTACAATCTGTCTGACTGATTAAATATAACTTTATAATAGCTGTCTTAATAACATATGTAAAAATCACACATGTAAAAATAAGTAAAGTTCATTTATTTCTTTTAGTTATCTTTCTCACCTGGAATCTGCCAAGGTGTCACAGGGCGAACCCCACAAACACGCCGGTATTCAAAGCACATGAGAGCACTACTAAGAGCTTAAAATTTCATCCTTGTGAAAATAAGTTATGTCTGATCGCTAGTATTTTAGATATATCTTTATCAACGCGAAAAAGTATTTTTACGCATGATCAGCTTTGTATATGGTTAAAAATTATGTGATGACTTTCAAAGTGATTCAGCAGTACATTTAAAGTATGTCTAGCAAATAATCGAAATAAAAAAATACCTTTATTTGATTATGAAACATTCTACAACAACTTGTCAATCATAGACTTAAAAATTATGCTACAATGAATTTAATTTAAAAGATGCAATAATAATTATTTATTTCGTTAGATAGTTTTATTATATAAATAAACTAATTCTTATTATAAAGTACGTACGTATATGAAACTATAATAGTAATTTAAATAAAGATACAATTGACTTTATTTGTACCTATAAATATTTAAAGAAATAATAATAAGTAATATGTATATTAGTAAGTATTTTTGACGCTAATCATATTCTATTAGATTCAGGATTAGGATTATTAATTCCAAATTAGAATTTTTATATACAATTCCAGATTTGTCTAAATCAAATCCATTTAATAAATATATAATGGAATCTTTTGGGATCTTTTTATAATTTAATTGAGCGATTATTTTTTTTAGTTTTTGCATGCATTTATATTATTAAAAAAAACTATAACATTTTCTGTATACAATGTGCCACCAATGGTCAAAGAAATCAGAATAATTCGAGCTAAATAAAACACAATCAAGCAAACGACTCTTGCTAATAATTCCATTATTATCGCTTTATTTGTGCAATACCGATAGAGCAAAGCAGTAATTACCAGATTAAAAATGACTGACTTGGCTATGGAATTGCCGTTTTACATCGCTACAAAATATTTTATTTAATTCATTTTATTAAGTACTTAATCTATCTGCACGAATGGTAATTATATGTTTGTATTTTCCCTGTAGTTTACTACGTTTTGTCCAGTTTATATACAAGGTGTCAAAAAAATAGTGTATCTAACTTCGGTAATACATATTTCGGACACCCTGTATAATGATCTTTATTAAAAATATCTTGAGCTATATGTCCTTAGAATCTAGTTATTATTGATCTAGTTTGTGAAACATATTTTTGATTACAAAAAAAAGTAATTAATTTTTCCTTTTTAAGTATCTTATTGACATTAATTTTTTTACAGGTTCTCGGCTTTGATGACACTTACGTATTATTAGCAACGGACAATCCTACACTGCTGCCAAATGAACGAAAAAGAGGATATACAGGGAAAAGGATTTCGGATGATCAAAGGGTAAGAGCATTATTTTTCTAATAACTTTATAAAAAATATTTTTCTATAACCATTATTATTATATTAACTACAGTTTTTTTTAATGAGAATGAACAAATATAATTATTCTTAGATGAGATAAAAGTAGCAGGTTTGTAATAGTTACACAATAAACCTTTAAAATATAATTCTTTAAATGAAAAATGATCTAGATATCATTAGAATATTTGAGTTTCCAAACCAAACCAATCATATAATGAAATATTATTAAAAAGAACAAAAAAAATCTATGAATTAAAATTATTTATTCAAGATTAACTAGATAATTTTTAATACTTTTTTCTATCATTTTGATTTCCTTGGTGGTTCTCATACATAACAAATAGTTAATTTGGGCCACATTTGCACAAAATATTGCACTTACTTGTTAATCCTTATGTTAAGGCAGCATATGTATATTCTAAAAGAGTATAAAGAGTTTTAAATTTTAATTAAAATAATGTGTGCATATAAAATGTGAATCATGGGCTCAAGAGTTATGTAAAGTGAGTTATATCCTGGATCCTGGATCACTATTGATATTCATTTTACCAAATAGAATTACTACTAAACTATTAATACAAAACTATTGTACTAAAACTCAGGTATTGTGGGCTGAGGAACAGCATGTCAAATCAAGACAAAAAAGAGATTTTCAACCTCTGGATCCTTCGGATATTCCTAAAGAAAGAACGAAGAGGGTGGAATTAGAAAATACACTATCCAGATCTAACGAAAATAGAACAAAAGCTGGGCAAATTAAAACTAGAAAAAAACGATTTATTATATCTGTCGAAAATGAAAAGACTGACCATACGTTTAATGATGAATTATGGAGCCAGCAGTGGTATTTGGTAAGTTGTATAATGACTTAAATCAGTTTTCTAAAAAGACTTTTCTTTTAAAGGATTTAAGCCTTTTTCAATGTTTTTTTCTATTTCGGAATAAAAATTTAAATTTCAAAATTAAAATTATTTTGAAAATTACCACACTTTTACTTTTACACTGGACGCGCGTTTCGCTAACCATGTTAGCATCATCAGCAGATGATTATAAACTAAAGTACAATCTACAAGTTGAGCGTTTATATACTCGCCCAGTGGGCACCGTGTGGGCGTGGCAAAACTAGTCAACCGAGTCAAAGCCCACTGAGCGTAACAGTTAGATTTCCGCCACTAGAGTAGTAGGAACAAAGAACTTGAAGGAATTGGACCGTTGTCTCTGTTCATACTATCTTTACATTTATTAATTCTGATGCTTTTATATGCATCTAATTGCCTGTAATTTGACACTTGTTTAATTAATTTTAAATTATTAAGATCTATACAATGTTCTTTATCAACAATATGTTCGGCAACGCAAGATTTATCCGGTCTACCATATCTTATCTGAGCTAAATGTTCTTTAAATCTAGTTAATATTGATCTTCTAGCTTGCCCAACATATTTCTGATTACAATCTTTACAAGAAATTTCATAAATACCCGACCTTTCCAGTGGAGGTGTTTTATCCTGTGGATTACCTAATAATTGTTTGGTTTGGCTGAGTGTAGTGAATATTCTCCTTCACTAGTTGATAAATTAATTAGAAAACGTAGGTATAGGTTAATGATTTCTGAAAATTCGACTTTTCAAGTGGAGAAAGATACGTCTAAATATTTTTCGATACCGTTTGATAGAGAGTTATACCGTGATCTAAAAGGAATTTTTAAGAATGTCAATTTTAAACTTGTGTATAGTGCTAATAAAACATTACAGCAATTATTAGGTAATCCAAAGGATAAAACACCTCCACTGGAAAGGTCGGGTATTTATGAAATTTCTTGTAAAGATTGTAATTTGAAATATGTTGGGCAAACTAGAAGATCAATATTAACTAAATTTAAAGAACATTTAGCTCAGATAAGATATGGTAGCTGCTGATGATGCTAACATGGTTAGCGAAACGCGCGAAGTCAGCTTTCTAAAAATGACATCAAATGACTAAAGCTTGATTTTCATACATCCGTTGTCCGTATTTAAAGGGTTCGATTGGTTAGAAAAGATTAACCAATCGAAGCCTTTAAATACAACCAATAAAATTAATATCGTATCAACATATCGTCGGACAACGGATGCATGAAAATCAAGCTTTAAGTCTTTAAAATTATTTAAATCAAAAACAGACTTGTTTTCTGTAGGCTTGATGCTCTGTTACTTATTAATGTTAGTGTTTAGCTTAAAAAAAAATATTTTTCTATTTTTGTAGAAAGACACAAGGACACAACTAGACCTTCCAAAGCTCGATTTAAACGTTCTTCCTGTATACAAATCCGGAATAACAGGAAAAGGCGTCAGAGTAACCATTCTGGATGACGGTCTGGAGTATACCCACGATGACTTAAACAACAATTACGTAAGTGAATAAGTCACTTTCATGAAAATTTTTATATGTATATCATTTCAGTAAAATTTTAGTTAAAATACAGGACGTTCAATCTTTGCCCACCTCTAATTTATATACCATAAAATAATGCAAAGTGCAAAATTTTCCAAAATGAAAATACAAATGTGTAAATAAAATGTTTTTCAATATTACTAACATGCAAATGGTATAGTCTGTGAAGCGAATAATTTTGAATTTGACAGTTCCCGCGGGCTTTTCTAGTGTTAATTTTATTAGGTTAGCAACTTGCTGACGCAATGCCGTCTCTAATAGCAACAGCCCCGGAGCGAGATTTATGATGTCACGCTAGTTAGATACTATGGATTAATAAATATGTTGTAGAATACATGGAAAACATAATTATTCCTCGTATTTTTGGTTTGTATTTTAAAAATGATATAGTTTACATGAAATATACATATAAGTTTTGTGAATGCAAATATTAACACATCACTATTAGTAGATATTGAATGTTTTTTGTTAAATTAGATCAATATCAAACCCCAAAATTTAAAATATATTTTACATTTTACCAATTATCTTATGTACCTATTCATTATTTGTATATTGTAAAACATATGCTGCATTTTTATGGTTCATAGTTTATTTGCCAAAGTATTTATTACTATAAGTAGGTATATATATTGTATTTATTAACTGTATATTATGTATATTTCATGTAAACTGTATCATTTTTAAAATACAAACCAAAAATACGATGAATATTATGTTTTCCATGTATTCTACAACATATTTATTGATTCGTAGTATCTAACTAGTGTGATGTCATAAATCTCGTTCCGAGGCTGTTCTATTAGAGACTGCATTGGTCTGATATTTAGAAATGCCAAAAGCTGATGACATTTTACTTTTGACAATTATGGCATTTTGTGTTGATTTTTGCAAGAAGACTGTGACTTGTTTTATTATTTTCCTTTTCTATTTCACGAAAGTAAAAAGAGTTATCTATCTGATTCGTTCAGGCACTCATTTTAAAGAATATCAGTAACTTTTTTGACAGAGGGATTTTATATTTGCCATATTGGTAAAAAATAACGGTCAAAATTCAAAGTTATTTATTTTATAGACTATAGACTTTGAATAAGAAGACTAAGGAAGGAGCATAATGCTATCCATGGTCGCGTTCATTAGGACGTAGCGCTACTGCAGCGATCACTAATTTTCTGCTGAACGCGCCGATTAGTTGTGAGCGCTCTGGGATCAGTCGCCCATTTTTTCCATCAGATTTAAAATACGCTAAGCTACCGATGCATGATGGATAAACATCACATACGCCAAATGTAACAAAATGTTTTGGAAAACGAAAACAAACCATTTTGTTTACTGTTCTCGGTTGACTAATCCCCTTGATTTGTGCCAAAAATGGGTGAAAACAATTCAGTCTAAGGGATGCTAAAAAGCTCGTTCAGCAGGGCAACCAATCGATGGCACATCGCTCACTGATCAACTTGTCCTGATGAACGCCACCCATGTATTCATGCATGGTGGGCGGAAAAAGCACCATAAAAGCTCTCTAGGGTGGGGATCCTTGACAGTTCTGTTTGATGATTCATTTGACACATTTGAATTTGATTTGAAATTTTGTGGATTTGTCAGTCTTTACGGAGCTTATTTTATGTTATTTATTATTTATTCTACTACTGATAGTTGTATAAAGGTAGTAAATCTAGATGGAAATTGTGGCAGCACTTAAATTAACAGTGATACTATCGCGATTTATCGAAAAAGACTCTAAAATAGTTGGTTGTGTAGCGTGCGGTAGATCTCGGCAAAAATTGAGTGAAATAATGGAACAACTTTTCGCTAGTAAGTGACTATATAGTATACATACGTGTAGTAAACCGATCATTTATGAAATTCACTTAAATTAACTAAATTATATATTTTTCTTGCATTTTACCTTTTATTTATTACTTGTCAAAGATTATATGTCAAAGAATTTAGATACGTTAATTTGACTTACCTGCTTCAGTAGCGTATCGGATGTTTGTGGTAATAAATACTTATTATAACTTATCTATTTTTATTAGAACTATATATTTTTATAACAATTTTAATAACTACCAACATTTATTCACAACGTAAAATAAAACAACAAATTATTGAGTCTACCCCACGTCTACCCTACATCATAGTTTTACATTTTTTAAATAAAATTAGAACGACACTGATAAACCGGAATTTAAGTCGGCCATATTTGAGACCCATCGCGGTGTACCTAAGATTTTTGATATGCTCCTTCCTTAGTCTTCTTATTCAAAGACTATAGACTATATTGCTAGCAGGGGGGTGACAGTGAAATAGGAAAATTGGAAACAGTCATTAGTGTCATTACTGTCATTCTCCTCACGACAAGTATGGCCGCCTAGACAAGGACAGCATTGTTTTTGTCTAACTATTGTCTAACTTCACAGTTTAGAATTGACAGATTTCAGTTTCAGAGACAACTTCAGATTTGTTCTAGAACAAATTCGAAAATATTCGACGCCATTTTAATTCATTCCGTTTAGTTTCGTTTTGGAAGTTCAATTTAATATTTCGGCTGAAATTTATAATTATAAAGGTAATAAAGTATATAAAATATATATTACATGAAGAATCCTGGAGAAAATGACGTTTCTGCAGTAATAGGTATGTCCCATGTATATGAAAAATAGGTAGTAAATAAACAGTTTTTACATTTTTTAGATGCAAGAAAATGGTGTTATAATCTCTTTGATCGGCGATTTTTTTGAAAATGGAAACAATTTACAGCAAGGTAAGATCATTTTTAACTATAGCCAACATTAGTTATGTCCAGTGTGTGCGATTTATTATCAATGATGCAATAAATCGGACTGATAATCTGATTATGTTATTCGACTAAAAGTCTCTTTTTGCTTCTTTTTGATTTATAAGCCAGGTCTCTTTGGGAATAATGGACGCTTTTTTAAACAGTATATTTATATTTTATACCTAATATATCAATATTAAATAAATTTAATATTGATATTTTTACATTGTTAATTTTAGTATAAAAAATTTGTTTTCTGTTTTCAGGTTTTGGTATACCCAGGTTTTTGTATAAGGCTCCCGTTTTCATGTCCCTGTGTCCGTTTTCTGTCCTTGAAGTCTGCAAAGACGTGTGTTTATTTACAAATTACTGTAAGTCATGCTTATACCTTAACTAATTTACGTTAAAAGTACATATAATTAACTAATTGGTATTGAAACAATACAATCCTCTATATTTTTATATTTATTTAGTCACGTTGTTCCATATTTCAAATAAATATATGTGAATAAATTATTTTTTTGGTTTGAAAAGAAAAAAAGAAAAATGAAAAGAAAAAATACAAAATACATTTGAACTGAAAGAGGGCCCGCCATTGAATAACCGGAAACGGAAATGAAAATTAAGCCATCATGTCCTTATCATGTCAACCTGTCAATTGGAAAATTAGTTCTCCAGACGACAACGAAGGCTTTCGGTGGCGTATCGTGTTTCCACGATTTAACACAGAGTTGACACTTCTTTCTAGTTAATTATTTTATGATTGCTAGTACCGCATTTACACAATGAGTGGAAAGTGAAGCCAAAGAAAAGAAATAGAAATATTAATCTTACATAACTCTATCCTTTTGGTTCAACAGGATATTCGTACGCACGCCCCAAATAAAACGATCTGATTCGTCTACTTCATCGCTGAAAGCTGTCGTCTGCCCGCGCTCTATTTTAAACTCTAAATATTAATAACGTATAATATATTATTTTTTATTGGTAATGACATTATTTCAACCTGTTATTTTAGATATTCATCATATCTATAGGTTTCTTGTTTTTTTTTAAATATGTCAGAGATTATTATTTAAATTTACAAGTAAAGGCGCGAATAGTTAGCCACTAAATTGATTTACGTGGTAGATAGAAACTTAGAAAACTACTTCTATTGGTTAGTATGAAATAAATCAACTAATCACGAAGTACTTTTCACGCTTGCGTAGTACAAAGCGGTTGAACGAAAAGGACCGACTTATGTGGATTTTGTATAGCTCCATCTCAAAAATTTGGCTTTTAATATATTTACTATTATGCATATTTTTAATGTTAGGATGCAGAGATCAGTTACAATTGCAACGAGGAAAATGGGAACCCATTGCCCAGATACGAGATAACCAAATCGAACAGCCACGGGACCAGATGTGCTGGTGAAGTAGCCATGGTGGCGAACAATATGAAATGCGGTGTTGGTGTTGCGTTTAATGCCAGGATTGGTAAGTTCTTTTACCCATAAAATGTTCTCTCTAGTGTATGATACACATATAATTACGAAGCTAGTGATAATTGGCAATAAATAATTCAAATTTCGTTGCTTGTCAGATATAACACCCTCCGAATTTGGCATTTATTTATATATCAGTCGAAAGCATACACTTAAATAAGAATTTTAAGCAAAAAAAAATTGCGGATGAACCACAATTTATTGAAAAATAAATAAATTAAAAGTGCATTTTTAGGTTATGGTAAAGTTGTATAAGCGTGTAATTATTGTAAAATATGACGATTATATGCATTTTTTATTAATATAAAGGTCAGAAAAAATCATTGAGAAGCATTAATAAGTCATAAATCAAAAATAGAGTTGGTGATCTCTTTTGTAATATTTGCCTGATCGATTTACTCTTTCGATTCAAACTTGCCGCCGGAGCCGTCTGTCACCATTTGTTGTTAAGGATGTAAGCTGCGTAAGCATTGTTGCCAAAGTTATTTCTTGTTTGTATGATACATAATACCGTATGATCGAAAAAAAAACGGCGTCCAGTTGGCTTGGAAATGACGATCGATGACATTCCCCATATAATTTTACATATGAAATGACAGCGATGTTCATTTCATAGCCATGGCTGACGCCGTTTTTTTTCGATCATACGGTACGTTACATGATACAAAAAAAGAGTTGAAACCGAAAGAGTTTTGATTGCGCTGGTTTCAACCTTTTCGTGAGGGTGTTAATCTTTTGTTATGTTTTTTTTTTATTTTAATACGAATCTGATTGCTTTCACTTGATTTTACGTGCCGGTCGCCGGACGAACAAATCCTTATACAGTAGCGCTGTCACGATAAGAACATATTATAAGTTATTTTAAAATCAAGACATTGAAAACACTCAGATTCGTATTAAAATATAAAAAACAACAGATTAACCCCCAAAGAAGTTGAAACCAACGCAATCAAAACTCTTTCGTGCAACTTTGTAGTTATAAATAGTCTCGTAGGTAAAATATCAGCTATGGGTAGGAGCAGTTTCTCAGGCGATCGCCTTTTCTTGATTTTAAAATAATTTATAATCTGTTCTTAACGCGAGTTTTCTTCCGACCAGCACGTGTTTTAATGAACCTTTCAAGAAAAAATGAATGAATCTGGCAACGCCGACAAAATTTGGAGGAGTTTTCGCATAGAAAGTAGCCTGTTGTAGCAATAATTAGATGTTTATTTTTTCATTAAATTATGGATCATCCACACTTTTTTTTGGCTTGAAATACTTATTTCGATGTATGCTTTCGAGTGATATAAAAAAAAGGTACAAAATTCGGAGGGTGTTATATCTGACAAGCACCCAAATTTCTTAATTTTTTTGCCAAACAAAGGAGCAAAATCAGAATAGGCATCGGTATAAATAATATACAGGGTGATCCGAACTGTATTTCGGAAACTTTGGCAGCATATTCTGCAGAAAAAAATAAGGAAAAAAGTTCGAATAAATGTATGTCCGCAAATGCTTCGTTTCGGAGATACCGGGTGTAGAAGTTTAATTTTTATTTCGATTTTTTTCAAATAATTTCAGACGTAATGTCCATATTTGGATGAAAATTGGTGTCTGGAAGTTTTTTTACATGAGAAATTTGATTTTGATGTCAGTATGACTCCTATTTATATGGGGCGCCACCTACATGTGTTTTAACTGTTTTGAAGAGTAATAACTTTTCTTCCGTACTTGTATAAAACTACTGAGTGAAAAAATATATATTTCCGTGGTTTTTTACGTAAAAAATAACTCTTGGTACAAATCGCTACGAGCAACCGTTATCAAGATATTTAGAATGGAAATAGTCAGTACATGTCATTATTGACAAAAAAATATACATCTTGAGTAGATAGTTATTTGACTGAAAAAAATGACGATAAAACAGTTTCTGTTGAACTTTTGGCACGAAACATTTCAAATTTATGATTTCGGTCTAATAACTACCTATTTACTCAATATTTTTAATTTATGTCAATGATGACTGGTACTGATAATTTCGAGCCTAAATATATCGAGAACCGTTACTAGGTAGCGATTTTCACCCAGAGACTTTTTTATTATGTAAAAAACATCGTAAATATATATTTTTTTACTCGGCAGTATTATACAGATACGGACAAAAAGTTACTACTCTTCAAATCACTTAAAAAACATGTAGGCGGCGCCCTCTGCAAGTAGTAGTCATATTGACATCAAAATCAAATTTCTCATGTCAAAAAACTCCCAGTCACCAATTTTCATACAAATATTGACGTTACTTCAAAAATTATTTGGAAAAAATCGAAATAAAAATGAAACTTCTCCACCCTGTATCTCAGAAACTAAGCATTTTAGGACATACATTTATACGAACTTTTTTACTTATTTTTATTTACAGGATATACTGCCGAAGTTTCCGGAATACAGTTCGGACCACCCTGTATAGTGTGTACTTGGCATATGTCTATCGTGCTCTAGCTATACCTATCTATACTAATACTCAAAGATACTAATATATAAAATCCTGACATACTGATTAATCAGGATCCTGCTCGAATCACTCAACGTAAGAAGCTCAATTTTGGCATACAGGTTGATTTTAGGGTGTAGAGGTTCGATAAGAAGGGATTTTTCGAAATTCCAGTTCCAAGGGGGTGAAACCACCCCTCAAATATTACAATATTTTTTATTTAAAAACCAGTGAGTTTTTGGGAAAAACTCTTAAACACGTATATTTTATTTTGTTGTTTTACAAATTTTTAGATTTTTTATAAATTTATACAGGATGTTTCATAAAATATGACCATTGAGTAATCACGATTCTGCTTAAACTGCTTGACGTTTAAAGCTGATTTTTGGCAAACGGATTGACTGTGGGGTGTAGAGGTTCGATAAGGAGGGGTTCCTCGAATCTCAAATTCCAAGAGGGTGAAAACGCCCCTCAAATATTACAATATTTGTTATATAAAAAACGGTTAGTCTTTCGGGAAAACGCTTGGACAAGCATAATTTATTTGGTTTTTTACATATCTTGAAATTTTTCAAAAAATCATACAGAGTGTTCCAAAAAGTTGGGTAATTGATTAACCACGATTCTGCTTAAACTGCTTGACGTAAAAAGCTTATTTTTGGCAAACGAATTTTACGAAAGTCAAATTCCAACGAGATGAAACTACCCCTCAACATTTCTGGAAATAATGTTATTTGTATTTTAGGTGGTGTAAAAATGTTGGATGGTTTGGTAACAGATCGCATTGAAGGCACAGCGCTAGGATACGCTCAACATTTAGTAGATATATACAGTGCTTCGTGGGGTCCCAATGATGACGGTAAAACTGTAGATGGCCCAGGAAGACTTGCAAGAGAAGCTCTTGAAAGAGGAATAAGAACAGTAAGTTTTTATATACAACAGATGTTCAAAAAATAATAGTATATTATTGAGCTGTATCTCTTACCGTTTCCGAGATCCCAAAGGTGAGAGCCGAATTTGAAACCCTCTATAATACTAAATAATCATGAGAGGAAGGGGGAGAGATAGAGTTTATTTGATTACCGCACCTGGGTAACCCTGTATTTTTATTTTAGGGAAGAAATGGAAAAGGATCGATTTACGTTTGGGCATCTGGAAATGGAGGCAGTCGAGGTGACAACTGTAACTGTGACGGTTACCTAGCCAGCCCGTACACGATTTCCATTGGTAGTGCTTCCCAAAAAGGAGAATTTCCCTGGTATGGAGAAGCTTGCGCGTCCACGTTGGCCGTGACATACAGTAGCGGCGCGTACAAGGATCAAATGATAGTAATAACATATTATTATTACTGTTTTTTTTTTAACTTTATCTCTCTATGTATTAGGTTTGAATGTTTCTCTGCTATGTTGGAGCAAACCTGTTAATATTATTATACATACCCAAGTGGATGAATAATTAATTTATTTATATTTAATCAAATTATAAAATCCTCTTGTATTTTTAGTTTAACGGCTCGTTTTGGGCATGTGTTCCATAAATGTTTCAAAATTTCATGAAATTTTTAATTCTCTCTAACTACTGTTTGACGATTCATTTGACACATTTGAATTTGATTTGAAATTTTATGGATTTGTCAGTCTTTACGGAGCTTATTTAATGTTATTTATTATTTATTTTACTACTGATAGTTGTATAAAGGTAGTAAATCTAGATGGAAATTGTGGCAGAACTTAAATTAACAGTGACATTATCGCGATTTATCGAAAAAGACTCAAAAATAGTTGGTTGTGTAGCGTGCGGTAGATCTCGGCAAAAATTGAGTGAAATAATGGAACAACTTTTCGCTAGTAAGTGACTATATAATATACATACGTGTAGTAAACCGATCATTTATGAAATTCGCTTAAATTAACTAAATTATATATTTTTCTTGCATTTTAGCTTTTATTTATTACTTGTCAAAGATTAGATGTCAAAGAATTTAGATACGTTAATTTGACTTACCTGCTTCAGTAGCGTATCGGATGTTTGTGTTAATAATTACTTATTATAACTTATCTATTTTTATTAGAATTATATATTTTTATTAGAATTTTAATAACTACCAACATTTATTCACAACGTAAAATAAAACAACAAATTATTGAGTCTACCCCACGTCTACCCTACATCATAGTTTTACATTTTTTAAATAAAATTAGAACGACACTGATAAACTGGAATTTAAGTCGGCCATATTTGAGACCCATCGCGGTGTACCTAAGATTTTTGATATGCTCCTTCCTTAGTCTTCTTATTCAAAGAGTAACATTGATTCTTATGTAATTTCTTTAATATACAGGCTACCACAGATCTAAACAACAAATGCACCATAAAACATACTGGCACGTCAGCTTCAGCACCTTTAGCAGCTGGAATCATAGCTTTAGCTTTGGAGGCAAAGTAAGTACCAAATTTTTATAGAAAACATTTAGCATTAAAATCGTTGTAGTTAGTCTTAGTCTTGCACAAAAAGCAAGTCAAAGAGTTAAAAAGTTAAAACACATGTAGGTGGTGCCCCCTACAAATAGGAGTCATATTGACATCAAAATCAAATTTCTCAAGTCAAAAAACTTCTACATCTATATCTCCGAAACTAAGCATTTTAGGACATACATTTATACGAACTTTTTTAGTTATTTTTATCTGCAAAATATACTGTCGATATTTCCCAAATACAGGTCGGACCACCCTGTATATTGAACATTAAGTATGTCAATTTTTAGCCCATCTTTAACATGGAGAGACGTCCAGCACCTGATAGTGTGGACCTCGGAACTGGCCCCGGTGGCCGAGAATCCAGGCTGGCAGAAAAACGCAGCCGGTCTGTGGTTCAGCACGAAATTCGGCTTCGGCCTGATGAACGCTTTCGGCCTGGTGTCGGCCGCGGCCAATTGGACCAACGTGCCGGAATACCACACGTGTGCGGTCGCCTTTAGCGGGTAAGACCCGCGAAAACGCCAGAGATAGGGAGAATGAGCTTCGACAAGTACTCATTCAAAAACGTTAATGATTGTTTATAGTAAATATACTATTTACAGTATTTTCCGTTTTCTCGTCTTGATTAAAGCATCATTTATTCATTTGTAATACCGTATGATCGAAAAAACGGCGTTTCCCACATAAATTTACATATAAAATGACAGCGATCTTCATTTCATAGCCAGCGCTGACGCCATTATTTTTTCGATCATACGGTATGTACTATATTATATACTATACAAGTCTAAATAATATTAAGCAATATTTTTAAAATTAACTAAAGATATACGACCATCAACAAACTTATAACTTATAATCTCTTTCTCACTATTACAACGCTGTTACTTTCTGATCTTCCTCGCAATCATAGAATTTCTGTTCAAGCTCATTCTCTTGACTCTATATCTCTGGAAAACACCCTCTATAAGTCATAATCGTACTCGTTTTACTCATTTTAAATATGTATTTGTAGAGCGGCGAATTCAAAAATAACGTCTGGCAATCCGGCAAAGGTAACAGCCCAATCGACAGGATGTTTGGATACTAAGGATCAAGTTACTTTCCTGGAACATGTCGAAGTTAGAACCACAATCAACTACACTGTGAGAGGAGCGCTAGAAATACAATTAACGTCACCGGCAGGTCAGTATTTATAACAGTTATTTCTAAATAACAGTTAACAATTATTTAAAATAACAGTTTTTCTTTATCAAATAACAGTTACTGTTGCATAAAATAACAGTTACTGTTATTTCAAATAACAGTAACATTTATTCTTTATCAAATAACAGTTACTGTTACATAAAATAACAGTTACTGTCATTTTAAATAACAGAAATAACTTAAATTATCAGAAACTGCTATTATTTATAACTAGCATTTTTAAAGGCTTTATAAAGCCATTCTTAAATTAAAACAGTAACAGAATTAATAGCCTTATTGTTTACATATTTCAGGAACTACTGTCCAACTTTTAGCCCCTCGAAAATTTGACGTCAGTTCTAAAGGTTTCATCAATTGGACATTTATGTCAGTCATGACTTGGGGAGAACTAGCCACTGGGACTTGGACATTAGTTGTTTCAGATAACGTAAGATTAAATAAAACATAATTTTTCTAGCAATAAATCACACAGTAAATAATAAACATTAAAAAAATGTTGTCATTTAAATATTTCAAAGAAAAAGATTAAGGAAGGGGTATCTTTAATATACAGGGTGGCCAGAACTGTATTCCGGAAATTTCGGTAGCATATTCTGCAGATAAAGATAAGTAAAAAAGTTCTTATAAATGTATGTACTAAAATGCTTAATTTTGGAGATACAGGGTGTAGAAGTTTCATTTTTATTTTGATTTTTTCCTTGTACTTTTTGAAGTAACGTCAATATTTGGATAAAAATTGGTGTCTGGAATTTTGATGTCAATATGACTCCTATTTGTAGAGGGCGCCACCTACATGTGTTTTAACTGTTTTGAAGAGTAGTAACTTTTCGCCTGTACCTGTATAAAACTACAGGGTGCAAAAATATACATTTCAGTGACTTTTTACGTAAAAAATGTCTCTTGGTAAAAATCGCTACGAGCATCCGTTCCCAAGATATTTAGAATGGAAATAGTCAATACATGTCACTATTGACAAAATAAACACGTTGAGTAGACAGTTAAATTTGACTGAAATAGTAAATTTTGGGAACTTTTTTATTTTTTTTAAATTAATCATAAATTTTTCTTCGAAAAAATAATAATAAAACAGTTTTTGTTTAACCTTTGGCACAAAAACATTTCAAATTTATAATTTCAGTCTAATAACTATTTAGTCAGCATGTTTAATTTATGTCAATTAGGACAAGAATTGGTAATTTAGATTCCAAATATCTCGAGAACCATTACTCGTAGCGATTTTAACCAAGATACCTTTTTTGCGTATAAAACATTGTAAATGTATATTTTTTTTACTCATTAGTTTTATACAGGTAAGGACGAATAAAAGTTATTACTTTTCAAAACAGTTAAAAATATGTAGGTGGCGCCCTCTACAAGTAGGAGTCACATTAACATCAAAATCGCATTTCTAATATCAAAAAAACTCCCAGACACCAATTCCCATCCAAATATTGACGCTACTTCAGAAATTATTTGGAAAAATCGAAATAAAAATAAAACTTCTACGCCCTGTATCTCCGAAACTAAGCTTCTTCTAAGTTCGGACCACCCTGTATATACATATTTATTTATATTTTATACAGGCTGTCCCAGAAATAAGTGCAAATATTTTAACTGGCAGCATATTGTTGAAAATTTTTTTTCTCGACATTTTCCGGGAAATTTTAAAAAACTTTTTAGTGCCACTTGTTTATTCAACTGAGGCGTCGAATAAACTGAAAACCCTGTGAAAAGCCATTAATAGCCAGCTATCGCCAGCGGTTCTCAAAATGTTGCTCTTATTTTTTTTTTAAATTTCAAATAAATAACTCGGTTATTATCAATTTATTTTAAAAATGGCAAAGAGAAAAGATGTTTCTTTTGACCAGATCTATCACCTATTAAAATATCTATACTTATTTCAACCCCTGTACATATATTTTAAAAAATCATTCAAAAAATGCGAAATTTGGTGATACAATATCCAAATATTCTGTTGATTTCAGACGGGACACACAGCGAACATTGGCTATTTAGGCGAAACTACTTTGATACTACGTGGTACCGAGGAGCCCCCGTCGCACATGAGACATGGACCTAGAAATTACAACGAAGATTATAATAGAATTCATAACAGAGTCGAACAGGCTAAACTATCGAATATGCCATATAAGCGACCCAGTACGCCCTTTGATTACGACTATTACAACTATTTAAATTGATTGTATATGGAATATATAAAAAGAAATGTAAAAAATAGTATTAAATAAACGCACTTAATAATATTATTTTGCAATCTAATGTTGTTTTACTGCTATTTAATGCAGCGTTTTATATGTCGTAAAACGTTACAAAAAGTTGCGCCTGTTTTTTTAAATCAATATATTTACAATGTTTAGTTTATCTGTCTATCAAACTACTGTGCTAATAATTTTTTTAAGTAAATCAACCATTTTATTAAGTTCAAAATATTCTTATTACAGTCCTGTTTGTCTTTGAGCATGACCTTGAAACTGTTTTCAAAATTTGAGCATTGTGGCGCCATCTTACGACGAAATATATCATTAATTCACATGGGCGTCGCCCCCTCGGCATTGCATTACTTTAAGGAACGTAGATGTCGCTGGCAGGATTAAGCGGTAAATTTAAATAACAGTACCGTTCAACTTTAATAATATATTATTATCTTATAATCATTGGAGCCAGAAATGGTTCAAAACGAAATAAGTAAATTACCAACAGATATTCAGGCTGAGGCGACAAACGCCATATCCGAACTACTTCCATTTAATTCCAGAATAACTTATGAAAAGGAATACAAAAATTTTCAAAAATGGAAGCAATTAAAAATTGTGCGAGAGGAAATAAAGTTTTTAACCTATCCTTGCTGTTAAAGTATTATTTAATTTACCCTTGCGGTTAAAATACTATTTTTAAAAGATATAAGGCAATATTAACAGTTGCTCTGAAAAAAAAACAATAAAGACTTATTACAGATTGAAACACGACGCCATAAAAATGCCATCTTTTAAGTAACATTTAATGTATTTGAATTTTGGCGAGTTTCTAATACTTTTCCGAGTTTCTTTTTATGTCATTTTCTGTTTATTCTATTACTCTGGTTCGATAAGAACCTTGTTTATCTATAGATCTATACTAATATATAAAATCCTTAAGTGACTGACATACTGATTAATCACGATCCTGCTCAAACCACTTAACGTAAGAAGCTCAATTTTGACATACAGGTTGATTCTAGGGTGTAGAGGTTCGATATGAAGGGATTTTTCTAAATTCCAGTTCCAAGAGGGTGAAACCACCCCTCAAATATTACAATATTTTTTATTTAAAAAACGGTCAAGTTTCCGAAAAAACGCTTAAACACCTATATTTTATTTTGTTTTTTTACATATTTTAAGATTTTTTTTAAAAATGTATACAGGGTGTTTCGAAAAATCTGGTCATTGATTAATCACGATCCTACTTAAAGCGCTTGACGTAAAAAGCTGATTTTTGAGAAGCAGATTGACTTTAGGGTGTAGAGGTTCGATAAGAAGGGATTTTTCGAAACTCGAATTCTAAGGGGGTGAAACTGTCCCTTAAATATTAAAATATTTTTTATTTAAAAACCAGTGAGTTTTTCGGAAAAACTCTTAAATACGTATATTTTATTTTGTTGTTTTACATATTTTAAGATTTTTTATAAATTTATACAGGGCGTTTCATAAAATATGACCATTGAGTAATCACGATTCTGCTTAAACTGCTTGACGTTTAAAGCTGATTTTTGGTAAACGGATTGACTGTGGGGTGTAGAGGTTCGATAAGGAGGGGTTGGTTTCTCGAATCTCAAATTCCAAGAGGATGAAAACGCCTCTCAAATATTTACAATATTTGTTATTTAAAAAACAGTTAGTCTTTCGAGAAAACGCTTGGACAAGCATAATTTATTTTGTTCTTTTACATATTTTGAATTTTTTTAAAAAATCATACAGGGTGTTCCAAAAAGTTGGGTAATTTCTTACGATTCTGCTTAAACTGCTTGACGCAAAAAGCTTATTTTTGGCAAACGGATTTTTCGAAAGTCAAATTCCAACCAGATGAAACTACCCCTCAAATATTACCAAGTTATATAATAATATCGCCATATTGTTTTTTTTTAATGCTGACATAAATGTGAGAACATTTTATCCAGTTTGTATGTTAATGGAAATTTTTGCTTTGCTTTATCATCACCATTACAAATGATTAATTCGACGCGAACGAAGTCGCTGGTACACGCTTGTATAATATACAAAGATAAGAACAAAAATAAAACGTCGTAAAACTTATAAACGTATTTTTATTGATTTTACAAAACACCAAGGTCCCCTCAGCCTCAACCCTGCTTCTGAGCCAGTTCCTTGGCCTTGGCCCTCTCCAGCTTGGCCACGCGCGCCGACGACTTGGAGCCGAGCAAACCGCCGCCCCAGTGCCTTCTGATCTCGTCGCCGCGGTCGTTGAAGTTGGTCTTGATCGCCTCCACCACCTTGTTGAAGGAGGATCGGTCGCCGGAATCCACCTGGGTCAGAGCGACGGTCGAGCAGGTCTTGCGCCTGACCAGCACGCCTGCAAGCGAAAGAAGAGACGTGTGGGTCAATGGGGGGGGTTATAGAGAACACAGTGTTAAGTAGGGTGAGGATTGTGTCGTCAGAAAAAGGGTGGTCATCAAGGCTTTTCTCTCAGTCGGGAAAAGAAGACAAAATAGAAGTATTTCATCATGAATGTACGGATTTCAGTAACATTGATTATTCAAGTATCTACCTGGTTATAGTTACGTTAGGTTCAATCAGCTCAGAACATATAGCAATAATTTAAAAAATATATATACAGGGTCGCTGATATGTATAGTAACGGTCTTTGAATAAAAGACTAAGGAAGGAGCATATCAAAAATCTTAGGTCCACCGCGATGGGCCTCAAATATGGCCGACTTAAATTCCGGTTTATCAGTGCCGTTCTAATTTTATTTAAAAAATGTAAAACTATGATGTAGGGTAGACTCAATAATTTGTTGTTTTATTTTACGTTGTGAATAAATGTTGGTAGTTATTAAAATTGTTATAAAAATATATAATTCTAATAAAAATAGATAAGTTATAATAAGTATTTATTAACACAAACATCCGATACGCTACTGAAGCAGGTAAGTCAAATTAACGTATCTAAATTCTTGGACATCTAATCTTTAACAAGTAGTAAATAAAAGCAAAAATGCAAGAAAAAAATATATAATTAGTTAATTTAAGTGAATTTCATAAATGATCAGTTTACTACACGTATGTATATTATATAGTGACTTACTAGCGAAAAGTTGTTCCATTATTTCACTCGATTTTTGCCGAGATCTACCGCACGCTACACAACCAACTATTTTAGAGTCTTTTTCGATAAATCGCGATAGTGTCACTGTTAATTTAAGTTCTGCCACAATTTCCATCTTGATTTACTACCTTTATACAACTATCAGTAGTAGAATAAATAATAAATAACATAAAATAAGCTCCGTAAAGCCTGACAAATCCACAAAATTTCAAATCAAATTCAAATGTGTCAAATGAATCGTCAAACAGAACTGTCACGGATCCCCACCCTAGAGTCCTTTTTCCGCCCACCATGCATGAATACATGGATAGCATTATGCTCTTTGAATAAGAAGACTAAGGAAGGAGCATAATGCTATCCATGTATTCATGCATGGTGGGCGGAAAAAGCACTCTAGGGTGTTAATCCTTGACAGTTCTGTTTGACGATTCATTTCAATTTGATTTGAAATTTTGTGGATTTGTCAGTCTTTACGGAGCTTATTTTATGTTATTTATTATTTATTCTACTACTGATAGTTGTATAAAGGTAGTAAATCTAGATGGAAATTGTGGCAGAACTTAAATTAACAGTGACACTATCGCGATTTATCGAAAAAGACTCTAAAATAGTTGGTTGTGTAGCGTGCGGTAGATCTCGGCAAAAAATGAGTGAAATAATGGAACAACTTTTCGCTAGTAAGTGACTATATAATATAGATACGTGTAAACCGATCATTTATGAAATTCACTTAAATTAACTAAATTATATATTTTTCTTGCATTTTAGCTTTTATTTATTACTTGTCAAAGATTAGATGTCAAAGAATTTAGATACGTTAATTTGACTTACCTGCTTCAGTAGCGTATCGGATGTTTGTGTTAATAAATACTTATTATAACTTATCTATTTTTATTAGAATTATATATTTTTATAACAATTTTAATAACTACCAACATTTATTCACAACGTAAAATAAAACAACAAATTATTGAGTCTACCCCACGTCTACCCTATGTCATAGTTTTACATTTTTTAAATAAAATTAGAACGACACTGATAAACCGGAATTTAAGTCGGCCATATTTGAGGCCCATCGCGGTGTACCTAAGATTTTTGATATGCTCCTTCCTTAGTCTTCTTATTCAAAGATTATGCTCCTTCCTTAGTCTTCTTATTCAAAGGTACTACAAGATAATAAATGAATAAATAGGCGACCTCGCGTCTAATCGGTGTTGCCATATTGTAAAGAACTTATCCTTTTTAAATAGTATCCGACTTATAATTTAGTAGTATAAGGACTATTTAATACATCTATGGAATATTAAAACCTACTTTATTAAAATGTAATATTAATATCTCAATATATGTGTATAATAAGAAAAAAAATATTGAGAATATTATAGACGTGACAACATAGGCTGGAGAAGGAAGACTCGGTCGGCTGCGGTCGGGTGTAACCAGAAGTAAACATGTGTACAAAAAAGATTGTTTGACCGCGTTTAGATGTAAATAGTGTAGTCTATATTTTATTTTAAGTCTATGGGGTCAATGGGGTCCAGATATTATGAATGGAAAATGTAAATTTATTATTTGTAGTTTTTATTCCATAAATAAGAAAGACCTAATTTAAAAGAAATAGTTTTCTTTGTAAAAATTATTATTAGGATAGCAACAGAACTATAAAATTTTATTTTTATATATATTTCATGAGAAAACTAAATCAATATTTTACAAAAACGTTTAATAAAAAATAAATTCATATATAAGGAGCTATAATCTTACCTAAACGAGCTTTTCCCTTTACTATACAGTATGGTACTCCCATCTTTCTGCAGAGGGCTGGAAGGAACAGGACCAACTGAAAGGAGAATTATATTGTAAATACTTTGATATAACAATAATTGATAAAAAAAATCAATACAAGTTTACTCAGTGTCATTGGTCTTCATACTTTTGATGCATTTTAATATAGAATGCTTTTTCAGGTGAAGAAATTCTTATAAACATCATAGTCAAAAAAGTAGATAGCATAAAAAAATAGTATAATTTTAAGTTCTTTTCCTGTTGATAACTCTTAAATTATTAATTTAAAAATATATACTTAAACCATTAAATTCTACGTAAAAAGGTGTTTTGGAAATGTTTTCATAAAAATACAAAATTTTCCACAGCAAAAAAGTTACAACGATTTAATAAAAAGGCATATTTTTCAAAAACACCCTGTAACTTCCGAAACGGTAACAGATACCGACGTGCGGTTTCTACAATGTTTTTGATAAGAAATGAGCTCCAGACACCGATATTAGTTTTCGTCTATCTCATATAGAAGAGGGTTTCCCTTTAAAAGTGTCCAATTTATCCCACCCTGTACATGTTTCAGACTGGAGTTCAAACATAGACTTAAAATAAAATATAGACTGAGCATCTCATTCGTAAATAGCTGGAACATGCGGTCAGACAATGTCTTGTTACTGTTTTAGGTTATAACGAGTGCAACACGAGCGATAGATAGGTTGTCTCTGTCGTAACGGTCGTTCCCTGACGACTCTGACGAGAAACGCAACACTGGTCTTTCGTTTCTCAAGTGCACCTGAACTCTTCCTATCATAGCCGGGTAATTTTTTTTATTTTAATGAAACTATAATTAAATTAAAAATATATCGTATTTAAACTTTTTTATATTTTATTAAGATTTAGGAGAGGTTTTTTTTAAATAAAAGTTTAGAAAAAACGTATTAGAGTCCAAAAAGGATAAAAATGATAAACTACATGTTATAGAAGAAATTTTATAACCGAAATTACGTAATTTTTGAAATTATTAAAAAAAAATATTAATTTTAGTCAAACATTTACAATCCCTAATATTAATCAAAACAGGACCTATTCTACAGATATAATAGAATCGGCGACAAGGAGAGAAAAAACAATTATGATTGTTGTAATTTTTTTTTCTGATTAAGTTATGTCTTATTATGTAAATTAGAGAAAACATAAATCTGTTCCATTAAAGCAAGGAAGGTGATAGGATAATATGCAGTGGATAAAATGAAAACTACATTTATTTAACTGGGTACTGTCTTTATTATACCGGGTGCGTCCCAAAAGTGGCTCATCCCCATAATTTTATTATTTTTTCAAATAAAAAAACAAGATATACTGCTATAACAAGAGTATATGACATAAATTAGGATTGATTGACGCATTCAATTGTTTTTGGTTACTTCCTGTTTCACCGGAAATGACTATAACTTTTAATTTTTAAATGGCACCCTCGGTATATTTCTACTTTATTCGATAGAAAATGACAGTTTGAATAGAATGACATATCATATGTCAACTTTTGACATTTTCGCATATGGTTTAATTGTAATTGTAATACGCGGTTCATAACGACAATTTGACTCGAAATACCAAATGTGTTGTATCAATATATTCTATGCTAGTGAGTCACCCTTGTTCCATTTGAAAAAATTGACATATGATTAAAAATACAATTTGTACATCTTTTAACCGGCCTAGACAAGACACGAAACCTATTAGACGATCAAAACTATTTTTCCAAGGCTCCTTGATTAAAACTTAGTGCTTTTAACAACACCATGGCACCCTGGATTGAAATTTAAAATACGATTTGTTTTTAAGCGACAATGTCAAAAGTTGACATATGATATGTCATTCTATTCAGAGTGTAATTTTTTATCGAATAAAGTAGCAATATACCGAGAGTGCCTTTAAAAATCAAAAGATGTAATCATTTCCGGTGAAATAGGAAGAGACCAAAAACAATTGAATACGTCAATCAATCCTTATTTATGTCATATACCTACTAACAAACAAATCTGTTTTTTTATCTGAAAAAATAAAAAAAGTTATAGGGGTGAGCCACTTTTGAGACGAACCAGGTATATTAAAAAATATTGTTTCATAATGTAATATCATTTTAAAATTCTTGTATGTTATTTATTTAGATTCTGAAGATAATTTTAGAATAAACCGGAATATATTTTTAATAAAAACATTATTAATTATTAACTGGGTTATAATAATTATGATTTTGTTACAAAAACCTTTATATAAATGATTATGTAAGAGAAAAAATTCAGATTTTACATTTTACTAAAATATTATCTAAATAAGCGCCTTTCTACAACAACGCCACTGACTCCCAATGGGTAAATTGAGAGTTGCCTACCGGTCGAAAGTTGTTTCAAGACATAAATGGATTATTTAAGTCAAATTTCTTGCAAATTTGGCACTGGCGAACCATATTTTATAGTTCTTGAACAGAAAAAGTAAATAAAATAAACACTTAAGGACTACAAGCTAAAAAAATGCGTTAATACAGCCGGGGACATAGCGGCAACAAAGCTTTACCGCACACGTGCGATGCGTACTACAAGGTAATAAATGAATGAATAGGCGACCTTGCCTCTAATCGGTGTTGCCGAAATGTAAAGAACTTATCCTTTTTAAATAGTATCCGACTTATAATTTTAGTAGTATAAGGACTATTTAATACATCTATGGCATATTAAAACCTACTTTATTAAAATGTAGTATTAATATCTCAATATATGTGTATAAAACAAGAAAAAAATATTGATAATATTAAAGACGTGACAACATAGGCTGGATGAGGAAGGCTCGGTCGACTGTACCCAGAAGTAAACATGTGTACAAAAAAGATTGTTTGACCGCGTTTAGATGTAAATAGTGTAGTCTATATTTTATTTTAAGCCTATGAGTTCAAAGTTTTCTGTTTGAACAGATAATGGTGCAACAATCGAAACAGTACCAAAGAAAATATAATTAAAATGTAACCCTTAACTAAATAAAGAAATAAATGAGACTGTTTCAGACTTGTCGGTTTAAAATTTTTGTTACCTAGTTAAATGTACTTACCTCAATTGGGTCGACGTCATGCGCAATGACTACCAGTTGTGCCTTTTTCTGTTCAACCAGTTTTGTTACGGTGTTTGTGCCAAAACGTACAAACAAGCGCTTGCTAGGGACATATTCCTTATCCTGTTTCCTCGAGTCGACTATAGCTTTAAACCTAAGAAAAAATTACATCAGAAATCAAATTACACATTCTATGTGCAATAGAAAAATGCATTATCTTATAGCCCAGAAAAGATACAAAAATGATTAAACATCAAAAACTGAATTTCCTCAATTATTCATTTTTACAAGCAACGTTTTTTGGGTAAGTGTGATACAACTAGGATGCACTAGGCAAATCATCAGCTTTGAAAATTATTTCAAAAATGACAGATCATATTTCAATTTTATTGGTTTGAGGGAACGATGATCGACAAACGGACGCCGATGCGTCTGAACTCGCCTTTAGATTTTTGAGACTTGTCAAAGCCTTGCCACATTAGAGGCTATCATTTTTTGTCAACTTATGTCAAATACTCAGCAAGTTAATTAATCAACTTTTAAGGTATAAAATTTGGTAAGTGTTATTATTAATAAAATAGTTTATTTATTTATGTTGTTTTATTTATTCCTGTGGAATATTACAAATTTGTATTTGTACATAAGTTAAATGGTAAATATAATAATAAATGCGGGAAGTTTCTTGAGGCTTGAAAGTAAGAACTAGTTCTTTTCCATATTTTTTTGGTATGTGGTGTTTTGTTCTTGTTTGTTTTGTATTAACACATACCGTTTTTTTTTAAATAAACGATTACATTTTTTCAGTTTTATACAGTTTTTTTTCACAATATTTTGAAGTATACACTTGTCAGTCAAATTTTTAATATATTAATTTCCTGCTATGCGTTCCAGTTGTACCAACTTATTTCTTTGTAAAATAAAATAAACTTCTTTGAAATTAAAATGACAGACACATCTATCACTGTCAAGGATCTTGTCGTTGGACAGACAATAGAGGCAATTTCAACTATATAAAACAATAAATTTATACCAATACATAACTCACCTTTCATTCCTTTGAATAATGCTTTCTGGTCTGTATTTTTCCAATATTTTAAACAACTGTGTTGCTGAAATAAAAATAAAACACTGAATAATATTGTTATATACAGTGTCACAGATAAAGGCAGCATCATAATGCAACTTTTTTTTATTTATTAAGTTGGGTGAAATTTGGCCTCAGCTATAGGTTCTGCTTTGATTTAGATTAAAAATGACTCAAGAACATTCTACCTATTGTCCCTGGATATCTGTCAAATTTAATATTTAAAGTAAAAAATGGCTAAAAATAGATCTCCTGGCAGAATTTCGCAAAAAAAAGATTGAAAAAGCTGTTTCTTTTTAAAATAGGGCAAAAATAATATGTTCAGACAATAATTCACTAAACAGAAGAGAGATATGAAGCACATAAAAAATGCATTAAGAAAAAAAACAGCAAGAGAAAAAACATTAAATTCTTAAAACAGTTGCCTCCCTATTACAAATCTAACTAACCTGTTTGCTTATCTAAGGTCTGTGTGAACTGGTTGATTGGTGGAGGAACCTTTAATCTTTTCTGAAGCACTGCTTTCTGTCTCTGAATTCTGATGTACTTGGGCCATTTTACAAATCTGGAAAGATCGCGAGATGGTTGAATATCCTGACCTAAAAATTTCAAATAAAAAACACAATTAAAACCATCATAAACCGAGAAGAAAACCTTCTTAGAAGACTGAATAATGTCAGAATTAAAAAGCTCGTATATGGTTAGTCAACAATAACTTGTTGTCTATAAAATAATCATCACAAAAAAATAAATTATCCAGTTTAATACTAGAATCTTTTTTACATGTTGTTTTTTGTAACAAAAATGTACTAACCAATTCCAAAGTTCCTTGGTCTCTTTTCAAAAAGAGGGTTTACCTCCTTTTTGGGCTCCACCTTCTTAACAACCAGGGGGGCCGCGGCAACCTTCTTACCGACCTTCTTCTTCGGCTACAAACACAAACTGAATGATATTTAAACCATGTTAAAGAACAGGCCACTTTAATAACTTATTACATAAATTCAGTTTAAAATCTAATGGTGGTAGAAAGAGGTTCTTCAAGGACCTTCAGATAGCAAATACGAAGTCATCATTCAAGCAAAAGCATTTGTAAATATATTAAAATTATTTAAAGATAATTTGCAGACAATTATGTTTAATAAGCTTCTCGAAAAATTAAACAAAACCAAAAATCTATATTGGATAAATTATAACTACAAAACTGATCTAAACAGTCGCACTACTGCATATTCGTTTGACATAAATTTTATTTTCATTTAAAATCTACAGTGACAAATTATGGCAAAAAATTATAAAACATAATGAAACTAGAGACAACTTACTTTTTTCTGCACCATATTTTCTTATATAATTATTTAGGATGCCCTAAATATTTCCTGAAATAAAATTATTTCAAAAATACGGTCGACCTTCTAAAAATGATCGCCGTGGAAAGAGGTTATGTCGGTTAAGTTTGACAAACGTCATTAGTCATCTGTCAAATCCGTAATGAATTAATAGTTGCCTACATTGTGCTTTTTCAATTAGAGATGTTTTCTTTTTCATTTTGGTTTACGCCAAGGATGGGCTGTTTCTTTTATATAAATTACACAGGAAACCGAAAAAAAATAGAAAAAACCCTTTGTAAAAACCTAACAATAAAAAGAAAAAAATAATATCTCTCTTTCATCAGTCTACATTTTCGATTGTTTTTATCTAAAATTCAAATTCTACAAAAAAATAAAACCAATTATTAATAAAAAGGCTAAAAATTAACATTACAGTTAAACAATTAACTATTACTCGACAATTAAATATTTTTTACTAACTTTGATTTAACTGCGCTAAATATGTCTTCATAAAACGTAAACAATCGACAACGTAAAAAACTATTTTCTACACGTTAAAAAAACCCTTAAAAAACTAATGGCTGTTTTGGTGTATCCATAGAATAAATATAGTTATTACTCTTTTATCATATACATGATCATATAAATCATATATCATACTCATATTCTGTGTCAACAGCTGAAACTTGTGTAACTAATCTATGGAACTAGTTATTCTTTGAAAGTTTTTTAAAGTTTTTCGTTATTCATTATTCTGTGGATACCTGATATCAGCTGATATTTTGTGATTCTCGTTTTGCTTCGCGTTCGCATAAGATTCGCATGTTTGTGATGTTTTTATTTTGCTTCTCGAAGGTAAAAGAACCCTGCACAAGAAATAGTCTCTTAGGTAATGTTTTTGTTAAACAAGGTTTAAAGAAAGGTTTAAACAATGAGCAATAGGGATGTAGGGATGTTAGTAGAGAATCTAGAGGTCTGGATCCTTTGTTATTTACCAATTTAATATAATTTAATAACCATACTATAGGAAAATATTGAGAAAAATTATTATTTGAATACAGAATATTTACTGGCAATAATATGCATTCTTTAAGAAATGAAAACAGCATTCTCTTTAGTAGTTTCTTTTTATATACATATACTGTCCAATTTAACTGCTTATAATGAATTTAAGTACTATGTATATACTGTAAACGTCCGAAATGCGGTAAAACCTAGGATTTACCAAAAGCAAGGGGTAGTAAAAACCAACCAACCCCACCAAATAACCACCTAACCAATGCACTAACACCCCCAAATAACCAGGCTAACAAATGCATTAACACCCTCCAAATAACCTACTACATACAATACTCCGTGTCGTATGTGGTGAACAACCCTGTATTTTGAACAATTAATATTTTCAGACATGTACTTCCGAAGGATTTAGCAAGGAGAAAAATTTGGATAGAGAGAATAAATAATAAAAAATCTTTCTCTCGACCAGATTCTTGTTGAGTTTGCGAAAAACATTTTGATTCGAGATGTTTCCAAAATGGAAAATGGATTAAAAATTCCTTACCTACCTTGAATATCCCTGGATATGTTCCAACAGGCGATGACTATAGATATAAAGCTCCTATAAGAGATATTTTGCCGATAAGAAGAGATATCGTAGCGGAAATAAGAGGTTAGCTTACCTATATACAGAGGGTTCGAAAATGCACGGCTAAATTTGTTGCAAATTGAAATTAAATTTCTGGCCATATGCATGAATACATGGATAGCATTATGCTCCTTCCTTAGTCTTCTTATTCAAAGGATACTATAGAGATAAGGACAGCTCGATTCCTATCGTCCTGCACTGTCAGTTTTTTTACATCATCTAGGGACCGAGTTGAAGTTGGCGTTTGGTTGGCGCTAAAGATTTTAGACAGTGACAGTTATTTTTGCGTTTGACGGACGAGCGCACCGTGCGGTGGAAGATAAATTTAGCGGGACAAAACCGTTTGGGTAGAAATAAGCCAGAAAATGTGTACTGATAAGAATAAATAGTAGACATTTCAACTGATATAAAAATGCATGAATGTTCTTTGTATTTCGATACATTCATATCAACCAAATTTGGTCGTTTTCTGCTCAGAAAGGCAGAGATCATACAAAAACAAAATATTTACAAGTGCTTATACATTTTATTCCAAAGCCAAATTATGTTGAAGATTGCCAAAGGGATGTACTTTTCTACTGTACGTATATTATTTGTTAAAATCCTTCGTGCCATTGTTCTGCAGATATCAAACTTTCACTTTTTTTCTAATATCGATATATTGAATGATGTAGATCTTTTGAGTTATCCATAGTTACTAACACAGGTAGTCACAGTCACAGGAAGTTCAAGCTTACCAGGTGAATGCCCAAAAGTTTCATTTCACTCGAATAGTATAAAAACAAAACAAAGACTCGTTAAAGGGTTAATTGAAGAGCATTCAAAAGAAGAATTAGGTTTTGCAAGTACTATGAGCTTTAGGGCTAGTGGGAGTAAGGATGCTGCTGTAATTGTTGAAACCTTAACTCCATCGAAAGGCACTGAGTTTAAAAAATTAATAGCTGCCCGTACACGGAAAGGCCCGGCCTTCGGACTTGGTCTTGAGGCCGAGGCTTTCACCCAAATTATCATAGCGGAAATATATCCGCGGGCTTTGCATTTCACGCAAACCCATAGATTTAGGAAGAACAGATATCACATTATGAATTTTAACCCGATCAAACATTCGGAGGTTGACTACGTACTGTAAAAACCAACTGAGATAGAGAAGGCGACATTGCCACATATCAAATTTGCGCCTATCTACTTAGTTTGATTTGCACAAAAGGTGATTTTAAAACCTTCACCGGATATCAATAAATCTCAATTCCTTAATTAAATTAATAGTTTATTTTTAAAGAAGCATGCGTAATAATATGTTATTAACCAGAGGATATATGCGTTACTATTAAAGCACATGTTTACTGTTTAATGTGCTGAAATATCTAGAACTATTGGCAACGTCGCTGCTAGTCTTCCAAAATGAAATGAGCCGTCCGTCCCACCACCCTTCGCGATGGCCCTTGGTCCGTTATAGCGTACTACGTTTAGCTTACTGTGTTTGAAGTCGGAACTTTGCCGTCCGAAGTGAACTTTTCAGTGTTTTTCAGTAGGTTTTGTTTTTCTTTAACGTACTTTTGAATCTGCGAATTTTCAATATGGTACGACAGTGTCAAGTGTGTGGAAAAATAAGCTCAAATTACCCAAATTTGTCTTTTCACAGGCATTGTAGATATTGTTTTGACATTTTATATGCCGCCGTAATTGTACATAGGCGTCCCACAAGGGAGCCTCCTCACAATTAAAATAATTTCTAATTATATTTGTTGAATTTTGATCTATTAAAACAAGAACGTAGTAGCCGGTAATTAATTTATAATTCGTCTCAATTACTACCTAACTGTTGTAGATCATAACAAATTTGAATATAAACGTTGCATTTGAAACTTTATTATAAGCCAGAAAGTGACATTTTTTTTCTTCAAATTTGCGTCATATTTTGGTCATTATATACTATATTCTAAAGAAATTTTGCTCAACAAATAAACAGAGGTGTTTACCAGACCTTTTATACATTTTATTGCTTTATTATATCTGCCCCTTCGGCCTTGTTTAGACAATTTTTTACCACCGTACAAATACATCTTCCTAGAGTTATTTGTACGGTGTGTTTAACTTTTTTTTAGAATGGGACGAACTGTAAATAATTCTTAGGCTACTAGTTTTATACCTACCTATATACAGAGTGACCCAGGCCTCCAAAAAAGCTTTTTACCTATTACGTTTTTGGTTTGTGATTTTTATTTCAATTTTTTACATAAGATGGGGGCCAGTGTAACGCACATTTTCAAAATATTTTTGTCAACATACAGATTGACGACAGAGATCGGGACATTTATATTATAAGATTGGGACATTTAACTAAAATTTGATTATTTGATGAAGCTACCTTTAAAAGTAATTGATTTGTAAATAAATGTAATAGGTATTCATTATTATGCGACAGAAATCCCATACTGTAGCACACAGATTTTATACTTTTAATGATAAATGCCTTCTATTGAGAGACTAAAAGGCAATTGCCTCGTATCAGAGCCATCATAATACAAGAAGAAGACCATCATAATACAAGAAGAATTATATTTTCAAAAAAAAACACAGTTTTCTCATTAAATATTGATTTTATTGGTATAGGAAGTTATTAATAATACAAGATTAAACAACTATTACACAGTACTTCACAGGAAGCTATCGATTGCGAACTATCTAAATCGTTACTAATTACTAATTTTGAAAAGTTCTTTTTAAGATAAAAAAAGGTAAAACTAAAACCTAAATTGTCATTTGAGATTAAACGGGAAGTTCTAAATAATAAATATTTCTGTTTGCTGTAGGTAATTTTCTCAGGGAAAATACGTAAATAAAAATGACTTTTTAAGTCAAAAAAAGTTAAAAAGACAAGTTATTTCTAAAAAGGACTGTCCTTTTCAAAAAAGGACAAGTGGCAACCCTAGGTATTTCTGGAATGGACATTTAATGGCAAATCTACAACTTTAGTTTGAAAATATGTTCCGGCCACCTATGTTTACAAAAATGTCTAAAATGTGCTTTACCATTGCCTCCACATTCTGAAAACAAAATTAAAAGAAAAGTCACCAACTACAAACCTAATACCTATTTAAAAATGTTTCGGAAGCCTAAGTCACCCTGTAAATATTCAAAAGTAACTGAAAGTTTATATAGAAGTAACTGAAAGTTTAAATTGAAAATCGACGTTGGAGCGATTTTCGAAAACTACTAACGTTTCAACATAAGTATATGTGGGATATTAATTATATTATTATATTAGACCTTATAACAAAACTCATCTGACGAAAAAGTGTTAATGTAGTATATTAATATGGAGTAAAAATTTTACTAATTACTTTACTTTTACTTTACTAATTAAATTCGTTCTAAAAAACTATACGCCACTGGCCATTAGAACAATCCAAATGCGCCTAGTTGCCGGGGTCGGAAATTTTAGACTTCTCTGTCTCTTCTGTCCTTGTTTGGCACATTGGAATGTTTGATACACTACCAACGAGTATTTATGAATGAGATGTTCGGTCTATGTTTATAATGTCTTTGCGCAAACCTATGGTATTTTGGGTTAAAGGCCCCGACCCAAGGCCAAGGCCGAAGGCAGGGCCTTCCCGTGTATGGGCAGCTAATAAATGACACCAATAGTCAGTTCGGCAATTTTCCTCAAGACAAAAACATCCAAATGATATTCTAGTTAAATAAAGCATGACGATGTGCTGAAGTCTTTTTTTACTTTCTGATAATTTATAATAAAACTAAATGATTATTACTAGTTTTAATAAAAGTTTAAAAAATTGTCTTAGATACTTACTATATATGAATTTACAATTACCGAGTGTTAAAATTAAAATATCTATCTTATTTATTATTTTCAAAATAAAATAGAATTTTTTAAAATAAAATATACAGGGTGTCACAAGATTACAAAGTAATTAAAAAATAACTGTTAAAGAGTTTCTTGTAAGTATTTCACCTGATATCATAATTTTATGTATTTGGCAATAGTTTACAGTACGGTTTTTGTGTGTCATGTACGAATAATATCATAGTTTTATTATCTTGTATTTATTTATTTATTAATAAATAAATAAATTTAACCATATGGTTGCTATATATTAGACCATTTGCTACGTTCTTGGATGTTAAGTCCCAAACATCGCTCCTGAGATTTTGTCCCGCTAGAATAACCATCCGCCGCACTGTGGAGCGCTGGTCCCTGCGTGGCGTAGGCATCCACGGCCACTACGACAGCGGCGATTTGGCGCGATCGAACAGTCCTTTAGAATATATAGAGTCCTTGATATTTGGCGACATAATTCCGGAAAAAGCCGAACCGCTCCGAAATTACCAAAAGCTTTGGGTCGCGACCGTTGCAAGAATAGCGCCAAATAGTATTTACATTTTCCTTATGGGCACTTACCTATCTAAACTTGTTTCGTTTATCTATGATAATATGATCTAAGTATTCCTTTTCCATCACCATACTGTAGCGACTCGATAATCCGGATATCGTACTAGTCCGGATTGAGGCCAAGCTTAAATTATATATCTTGTAATCCGGAAAAAATCTCTTGAAAAGCGCTTTGCCGTTTGTCATTAGTGTCATTCTGTCGAGTCTGTCAGTGCCATTTCAAGTGTCGCGTTTTTAAGTATTTTTCTTTATTTTTATTAAGGCTGGTTATAGAGTTACGGTACCGTATCCCATAACCTGGTACGGTGAATGCTGTGATTGGTCGAGTCCAAAGTGGCGTTTACTGGCGTTCGGTAATAGCAATCAAATCATGCTTACAGCGTGTTTTGATTGCTGTTACCTAGATCAACCTTTCACTACACCTTGACACCTGTGAAAAAATAAAAAAATAAATATTTTTATAGGATTTGAACCCAAGACATCTCGATCTGGAAGCGACCGCCTTATCAATAGAGCTAAATCTATTTTTCTAAGGCTATAGCAATGCCTTCTATTAAAAGATCAGCCTACGGGCGAGATTTATGACGTCACGCTAGTTAGATATAACGGA